GAGTTGGGCCCTTTTTTCATGTTTCCAGGGCTGGTGATGGCCGTTTTGTATTTGGTTGATTTTCAATCTTATTTAGTGTAAATGAACAGCTGCTGGTCTGCGATGAGCTGCAGGTTAACGGCGTTTAACCCACATATCATCAACATGAAAGCAGTTCCTGTCAGTGAGCTGCTCGCCATACTTCCCATCATGTGACCATAATGGTTGATGCTCCGGCTGTAACCTGAGCTGCCGGCGCCGAGTTGAGCACCCGGACCGCCGTCGGGGAGCGGTGCGATTTCAGCTCGTCGCTCTGGAAAAGGTCACCCGGTGTTTTCCTGAACCCGTCTGAACTCGGCAACTCCGTCTGTCGTCTTGAATTTATCTGGAAGCTGGAAGGAGTGCGTTCYGAGTGCGGCGTGCGCGCTTGCTATTTTGATCAGGCTGGACTCTAGCCTCAGCACAATGCTCAGTTCTGATTTCAAGGTGCTTCCTGGTGTCAGTCGGCCCGTTCTGCGAAAGAGGGATGATGTGCGGAGGGAGCGATATAACGTTGGTATTTATAGCTAGTGTTAGACACAATGATAAGGTGCTGAAAGCTGGACCACAACCCTGATCTTCTGCCCGTGCTGTCTCCTGTCGAGGCCTGCCCTCCTGTTTGTGGACCGACCCACCCTGTTGACGTTTTAAGATTAGTGTCTATTTTTAAATCAGGGAAGGTTGGTAAAATCATCCCATAGCTAGAAGGTTGAGGGTTCGACTCCTGGCTGGGAGCTTATGAGGAGTTTACGTGTGTTATTTCCAGGTGCTCCAGTTTATTCCCACAGAACATAAATATTTGATTAGCTGGTAATGCTAAATTGTCCCGAGGTGCGAGAGGCAATGATTATTTGTCTCTTTGTCCCTGTGATTGACTAACCTGTCCAGGCTTTACCTCGCCTCTTGACCAATGACTTCTGGAGATGGACACTGGCTTTTTGTAAAAAAAAGAAAAAAAATCTGTGCCAAAAAATAATTTCAAAATAATTATCAACAAAATATTAGAAAGACTTTTAATATTTTCTTTATTATTTATCAAGTTTAGTTTTAGTCCAAAAGCTTTAGATTTATTAGTTTTATTTTAACGTCCATTCAGGATTTCATAATAAAATGTTGATTTTTTTTTTCATTTGAGGACATTGAAAGCTAAATGAAGATTTATCAATTGTCACTTCTGGCCCTTTGCACTATTTTTTTTCTTGTTGTATTGAAAACTTACATAAATGTTACCCCTACTGAGCACTTTATTTATGTTCTGGGTTGCCCAAACCTTTGCCTAAACACACCCAAAATAAATATTTTATTTGCTTTAAATCGGCATCCAGAACTTTTGATTTGCCTTGTCAGAGCTGAACTGTAAATTTTATATTTTACTACCGTTCTCTTACATCAGCTTCAGTTAGAGTCTAGATACCAGCTGCCTAAAGAGATCCCTCACCACTCAGTTAATTAGTGTACTCTCTCAGTTTTAACTTGTCAAATTACATTTTGGTTAGCCTCTGCAGCGACACGCAGGCCACAAGCATTGTGGTTTAAAGTGTCGAAAGGAAAATCCACACGTTGTGGTGAGGAGGACCTTCAGCTGCTGCCTGATAGATGAGCTGATAAAACCAGCTGTGGTCAAATGTTCAGAACAAAACCCAAACATGAAGTTTTTCCCTCCACATGTAGGTTTGTACATAATGCTCTTTTCCTACATCAAGGATGCTTTTTGCAAATTAAATTTTATGAAATGTTTGGAGCTGTAATACAAGTTTCATGTCTTAAAGCCAATATAAAAAAGGCAAAAACATCAAAAGAGAAGGTGCAATAAAAAAAAACAACAGGGATTTACATTGTTGCCCGACTTATTTTCTTCTGTCTTGGGTGTTTATGTGTAGCAACAGCTTCGCATGACTTCATCACACAGAGTCCTGCGATGCCTCAAATAACTCTGCTGAAATCATAGAGCCCTTTCCATGTGACCCGACAGAGAAGATGACATCACGTTTTTCCAAACTCCCATTAACAGGAACGCCTTTTGTTCTGACTCCAGCAGCCAACACATGCCTGCATACAAACATCTTTTGTTGCTGCGTTAAATAAAGGATCATCATATCAATCAATTCTTATTGCTGCTGTTTTATTTATTTGTTTTACACCAAAAGCTTCTCATAGAGCTGACCCTTATAAAATGTATTTTAAAGGGTTAAAAGTCAGAATACCTGAGGTTAATTCACTTCAACAACATTCTGTGCTTTTATTTATTTATTTATTTATTTTCAGCGTGATATTTAATTGTTTTGCAGTTTGAGTTGTACTCAGAGGCCAGCATCGCTCTGCTCCACCTGAACACGGCGCAGGATTTTGCTGATTTGACCCAGCAGGCGAAAAAGAACCTGACTCTGGATGGGAAAGAGTTAACCATCAGCCCCGCCTACTTGTTTTGGGACATTACAGCCATCTCCCAGGTACACTAGTTTCCTGTTCGAAGATATCTGTGACCTAACTTGGTGGACAAGAGTAGCCGTATTAGATGTTTTTATTATAATAAAAAAATGTGTTTGTGCTTCAGTCTAAGCAGGACGAAGACGTCTCAGCCAGCCGATTTGAAGACAACGAAGAGCTCCGCTATTCGCTGCGATCCATAGAGAAACACGCGCCCTGGGTGCGGCACATCTTCATCGTCACTAACGGACAAATCCCCTCCTGGCTCAACCTGGACAACCCCAGAGTTTCAGTCGTCACACATCAGGTCACGCCTCCGCTTCCTCCACACTGGAATGCACCAATCCTTAAACTGTTCCAGTTATTAATGAGGGCTTATAATTTGGGTTTTCCAGGATTTATTCTTGAACCACACCCACCTTCCCACCTTCAGCTCCCCTGCCATCGAAACCCACATCCATCGGATCCCTGGGCTCTCCCAGAAGTTTATTTACCTCAACGATGACGTGATGTTCGGTAAAGAAGTCTGGCCGGATGACTTTTACAGCCACTCTAAGGGACAGAAGGTGCTAACACGACCYTTAAAGTTCTCAATAGCTACGTTTACATGGACATAAGTGATCGGATTAAACGGCCATTCGGAATAAATGTAAACACCCCATTCGAATTATTCCGACCCGATTCAGCTCGATCTGAATGAATTTGTAATCGGAATGAGAGGTGATTTATGCTGATTGATAATCCGAACAACGTGTATGTAAACACTTAATCCGATCATTTTATTCTGATTGTGGAAAACCGACCTGACTGCGCATGCCTTCCACCGGTTTCTGCTATTTTGTGGAGGGAGGGAGTTTCTAGCAGCACAGAAGTTTTTCTCCTGTTCTCTCATTCAATAAAGAAGGAAGACACACAGCCTGCYCCGCTTCGAAAATAAAAAGTCTGCGTGTCAACTGTAGCTCAACCAGGGAGTGCAGRAACATCTCCACCATTATTAAAACCTGTCGCAGGTCCATTCTGAGCTCAGAAGCTGTTTGTTTATCTTGTGGCAGGTCACATGGGTGTTCGTAAAACTTATGATCGTATACTTAATAATTTCTATTGGCCACGTCTGAATTGAGATGTACGCCAGTTTATCAGGACTTGTCATGCGTGTCAGCTCACCAGAAAGGCAGATCAGTTGTTAAAGGCCTGCCATTCCAGTAGCAAAGACCCAAGTGCTTCACCGGTTGGATCAGCTTTGGCTGTTTCACCAGATGTTGTCCATGCTGACCTTCCTTTTGACGAAAGTAGAACTTTTTTTTCTGTGTTTTTTAATTTTTTTTTAGGGAAAGCTAACAACTGTGCATGTCATTGCTTCTATTCAGAATAAAAGCCTGGTGCATGTAAACACTCGTCATGATCTGATTGTGCCCATGTAAACAATACATTCCGTTTATTTAATCCGAATACATTTCAATCCAATCAAAGAATTTTGCGCATGTAAATATAGCTATTGTAAGGTTTGTTCGACAATCTGAATCCCAGGCTGGCTACATGCTTGTCTGTTCTCACCGCCCTCCAGGTGTACCTCACCTGGCCTGTTCCAAACTGTGCAGAGGGCTGCCCAGGATCCTGGATCAAAGACGGGTACTGTGACAAGGCCTGCAACAACTCAGCTTGTGACTGGGATGGAGGAGACTGTCTCGGTAATGAGCTCAGCACTGCTGTCTTTACCCACGTCGGCCGGTTTGTGTTCCAACGCTCGGTTCTTCCACAGGTGCGGCGGGAAACCGGTTCCCTGCGGAGGTCGGCGGGGTCGGGCCTGGAGGAGCAGGTGCACAGGTGTGGCAGTTTGGAGGCGGCCTAGGAGGCGCCGGGGGGACGTTGTACTGCAACCAAGGCTGCGCCAACTCGTGGCTCGCTGATAAGTTTTGCGACCAGGCCTGCAACGTGCTCTCGTGTGGCTTTGATGTGGGCGACTGCGGCCAAGGCAAGTAACCTCAAATAAGCATCACAGATATGCATATTTAGTTTTTGTTGTAGTTTTATTTTAGAAGAAATTACCAGATTTCTTTTGAAAAAAAAAAAAAAAAACAACAAAAAACAAAACAATCTTTAATCCCTCTTGTAGGTTTAGTTTGAAAGCCCCTCCATGTTTGTTGTCTTATGAACCTGATAAAATCTTGTCTCTTATTTGTAGAGCACTTTGGTGAGCTGCACCGTGTGACCCTGCTGAGGAACCAGAGTCTCTACACTCTCCCCGTGGGCGAGACCAAACCCTATTTCAGCTTCGAGAAAGTGGCTCGCAGAGTCTCGGAGGCCCACGTCAGCGACAACCCCGCGCTGCGACACACCTCRGTGGCCAACAAGTGGAAGAGCATTCACCTGCTGCTCCACCCAGGCCACAARGCCACCCGCATCCAGTACAACATCACCTTCCAACGAGAGGACGACACCGAGTTCCAAATGAGCTTTATTGTAGCCGTYGACCCCCGGGAGGTCCCTCAGAATAACGTTTCTAAGACTTTGAGCAAAGAGAAGGGACAAGAGTCCGAGCTGACCCCGACTCGCGAGCCGGTGTTTCTGTTCTCAGATATTCCCGAGGAAAAGCGAGGGCCCAAAATTCACAAGAGGGATCCTGGTGAATCTGAGGGTACCATGCAGATTCCTTTAGTAAATGTGTCTCTTTTACCAGCGGTTGTGCGCAGCGAGCTTCAGAAGTTGGAGGAGAAACTTCTGATTGGTGACATTACTCTGAAGGGTTATTACTTCACCAAGGCTGAACTTCTGAAACCGTACAAGTCGCTGTCTGAAAAGCAGCAGGACGTCGATTTACAAGCAGGCAGAGTCGAGGGGAAGCRTTACAAAGACCTGGAGGGAGTTCACGTAGAAGGAAGACCTCCCATGASGATTGACACTCCAAAAATCGTCCAGGAAAATCAAAACTCGGATGAAAAAAAGAATCTAAAGGAAGCCATTGCTGTCGAAAAGAAACTTGTTACTCCTTTCGTCTCCGTCCGTATTGATGATGTGTTGAAAAATGTTGTTAGCCCCAAACCTTATTCTTTGAAGGCTGCGATTGAAAGACCCATGATCGCCAAACTTTTAGGCAACTTTTCCCAAAAAAGGAGTGAGGAGACTGGAGCTGAGCCACCCGGCGCTCCTTTAGTTGGAAGGAGACTCCAACACTTCACCTCCTCGGATKGAGGCTTTCTGCCATGGGAGAGGAGGAAATATTTCCAGGCTTTGCTTGAAGTAAGTAAATCCTTAAACTTTTAATATTTCTCATCTGTCCTTACATATCGTTTACGTTCTGTTCACTCCACAGGAGAATGAGCGTCTCCAAAAAGAACTGTCCTACGAGACGGACGGGACGGCCACGGGACGAAAGCTGCGAGACACCTTTGCCGACTCGCTGCGTTACGTCAACAAACTGCTCAACAGCCAGTTCGGCTTCACGTCCCGCAAAGTCCCCGCCCACATGCCGCACATGATCGACCGCCTCATCATGCAGGAGCTGCAGGACACGTAAGSACGACCGAAACGTCCACACCTGTGTTTCTGATGTCACGGCTTTAACTGGATCGCTGCTTTTTTCTTCAGATTCCCAGAAGAATTRGACAAAACGTCGGGCCACCGCGTCCGACACTCGGAGGACATGCAGTTTGCCTTTTCGTACTTCTACTTCCTGATGAGCGCCCAGCAGCAGCTCAACGTCTCCGAAGTGTTTGACGAAATCGACACTGATCACTCGGGTATTTTATCCGACCGGGAGATCCGGACTCTCGCCACGAGGATCCACGAGCTCCCCCTCAGCCTCCAGGTCAGTGTGAGGCTCCGATGTCTCATCTTCTCAAAAAGCCCCTCTGGTTTTGAAATTTGTTATTCTTCGTGTCAAATGTAGGACCTGACAGGACTTGAGCAAATGTTGATAAACTGCTCTAAAACACTTCCAACTAACCTGACTCATCTGCACCTGGTGAGCCCGACTCAGGAAGCCTACTATGACCCCAACATGGTGAGTCGAATTTACCTCAAACTTTAATCTTTGTGACCGGATCATTTCAATTTTAAATGTTTTTCTTTTTCTTTTTAAGCCTCCTGTTACAAAAGGCCTCATCCTTCACTGCAAGCCCATCACGGAGCGGATTCACAAAACTTTCAGAGACCAAAATAAATACAAGTGATTTCCAAATTTCTGGGCTGTTTTGCTCAATTGTGGCATTATTTTGAAATTAGAAGCTAACATGYTTTTGCGTTGACAGGTTTGAGATAATGGGGGAGGAGGAGATAGCTTTCAAAATGGTGCGGACCAACGTGTCCCACGTGGTGGGCCAGCTGGACGACATAAGGAAGAACCCAAGGTGGGGAGAAATTCGTAAAAAGACRRTTTCATTGAGTTTCTTTTACTTTATTTTGGTCCTGAATCTGGTCCATCCAATGTGTTACCAACAGGAAGTTCATCTGRCTGAATGATAACATCGACCACAGCCATAAGGACGCCGCCACAGTAAAAGCCGTGTTGAGAGATTTCTACGAATCCATGTTCCCGCTGCCGTCCCAGTTTGAACTTCCCAGAGAGTACCGCAACAGGTTCCTGCACATAACGGAGCTCCAGGAATGGTGCGTTAGATGTTTTGACAGAACGTTTGATTTCGGCGCTGTAGGCCAAATCACTGAGAGTTCCCGTCGCAGTTTCCTGGAGACCAAATGTCTCTTTAATCAGGCAGGAAGTCAAAGCATCAAAGACGAGGGAAAAAACAGAAAAACTGTCACAGAAGAGGAAGGAAACAAGCTTCTGATTGACTTACTTTGTTACTTCATCATTCTGCTCAAGCCCTAGATATTATAAAGTTAAATGTCTCTCCCCCCTGAGTGTTTCCTTTATGGAYTAGTGGGGTCTCTATAAAGTTTAAGAATGCCAGTTTTAAATAGAAATGTTAAATTTAGCCTGAGCTGCTTCAGATGAGCGGCTCATTCTTACATGTTTGTGTTCCTTTCTGCCTTTCTTCTCTCTCTAAATCAGTAGTGTCTGGCAGATGGCGTTGGATGATGTCACTCTGTCAACTTGCTGCCCTCTCTGCCCACAGTTAGCCTCTGTTTGCTGGAAGGATGTGCAGCCTTCAGGAGACGCTGATGTTTGATATGTTGATATATTGTTACTTCCAGGCGGTTGTATCGGGACAAGCTGAAGTTCTGGACCCACTGCGTCCTGGTGACTCTGGTCGTCTTCACCGTCATGTCCTTCTTTGCTGAGCAGGTCGGTATGTCCACCTCGGACCACCCCTGTTTGTTTACATTGTCAGATAAAGACGTCCGCTCTCCATTTCCATGATTCATTCTTGAGCTATGGTTGCTGCAGGACTCTAATCTGAGCTCATATGTCAGGTTAGTTTGATCAGAAGAGAAAGACTCTCAGAAATCCTCAGTGAAAGGCGAGACCCTTGATGATTTGGATCACACAGTACTGTCAGGTGGGCTTTTTGGAAAACGGGTAACTGAGAGTTTTTCTCCAGTTTTAGTACCAGAAACCTCGTAGGACAAATTCCATACGTTGTTTCAGAACTCTGCCCTCTAAAGTCTTATAAGCCACCGCCCTAATCTGCAGGTTTCCAGTTGCTCCTCAGCAAATTTACAGAAAGGTTTATAACTGGGATGACCTAAGGAGAATCTCAAACACAACGTCCCACAGGGACCAGTTCTCCCGGTGAGGAATGTGTCCGACTCGTCCAGTGTCTCTTGTCGCTGCTCACTTGATCTTTTTGGCAGCAGATGAGTCTGACTGTCTGAGTTATGGAGGTACAGTTTAGATTAAAGAGATCAAAAGTGTCCTCGTGCCCCAGAGAAGTGGTTTCACTCTGCTGCCTCACATCTAAAGTTATCTTTGCTTTCTTGGATTARAGAGATATGGAGAGACTTTGGTGTCAAAGTCAAGCGTTTTGTTTTCAGTTTTTCTTGGYGTTATGAAGTTTACCTAAATTAATCCTACAAGCAGATGAACAGCCTGACTATAATAAAATATGTTGTAGTTTTTAGTATACTCCGCGACTGTTTGGTTCCTCTGGTAACTAAAACATTAAATATATGAATGATTAAATTAGAAGATCACTGAWGTGTTTTAGAGCGTTGGTGTTGCASTGTGTCAAAGAAAAAAGTTCCAACAGCACAAAAACAACAATTCAAAAGGACAGGATGGACTGATTTAACCTATCCAATAACCTTGATCTGACTTATTTTAAGATCCTTTAGAGGAAAATAAAGTTGACTGTATAAAGAGCTACAAATTATCAGCTAAAGTAGCACAAGAATAAAAAAATTACCACAAGAAACATGACTACTAAATATTGCTAGAGAAAAATGCATTATCTGTGAAATAGTGTTAAATTAACAGTTAAATGACTTAGCTGAAAAATTAAATTGTTAAAACTAAAAGAAGCAGAAACCTAGCTAAAACCTGTAGAAGCAAAATACTGCTTAAAATACAAAAGTAGTACAATTCTCCCTCAAAGATAAAAGTAATAAGATGAGCTGGAGCTAAAGGTCACAAAAGACAAGCTGAAGGTAAAATGTGAAAAGAAGACAAAACAGAAAGGAAGACAAAGAAAGTTATTAAAAGAATTACAGAGATGCATTTTTATGGGGAACATGTTTGAAACTAAGGTTAAATAATTTGATGGGTGTGGTGACTGGGCTTGTATTAAAAACCCATATAAGCGGGCCCATTGCTTTCATTTGAAGTAACAAAATTACAAAAAACAAAAGTCACAGCACCCGTCTCCTGAGTGAGCTGAACGTTTTGATATTTGAACGTGTAAATTGAATTGGATTTGAGTTTTAAGAGAAAAAAAAAAAACAGTAGGATAAATGCTGAATCTGCTTTCACAACAAAAAGAAAACCCCAATATCTGGACAACAATTTGGATTCATTTTTTCTATTTGAAAACTTATTTTTGGATCCAGGGCTACACCCTCTGTGAAACAGATCGACACGATTCATTCTGTAGATAACACAACACAAAGCTATGTTTGATGTTTGTTTCCATCTTTTCTGATTGTGTAACGTGTTCCCGTTGACTCACTCCTTCTCTTTTTTTTAGCTGATTCTGCTGAAGCGAAAGCTGTTCCCCAGACGCAGAGCGAACAGAGACAGCAACTCTGAGCGAGTGTGAAAGAGAAAAGACTTCCTCTTCTCTCTGAGCTTCGCCCTCCACCTCCTCTCTCCACCTCGGCGGCGAGGCAGACTGGGGGGGTAGGGGGACTACTGGGCGGAAACAGGAGTCCAGGAGTCCTGAGCGCGGCGTGCCGCCCGGTATAGATGGAGGTTCCTGTCAGGTGGAGTGGACATTAGTTTTGAAGATGATGGATGGCGATGGCTGGTGATGGAAACAGCAGCCAGACACTTGATACCTTTTTATTTTATCGAGGACATTCGAGACACTCCCCCCACACCTCAGACCCTTCTTCTAACGCCCTGCCATCAGTTTGTACTCTTTAATAACGGACCTCCTCACTGCAGCCGGTTTTATCAAAAAATTCACGCTGCTACTTTTACTGCTACAAACATCGAAAGTGTTTGTTTTTGTTGTCCTGGTCTTTTTAATAAGAAGTTAAACATTTCAAACAGAAGATGTCAAATTCTCTGCTGGGGAAATCAAATGAGGTTTTTTTTTTATTTTTTGGAAAATTGGTAAAAAGTTAAAAGAAACCATGAAAAATCAAATGATTTCAGTTTTGACTGTTACACCTTTGAAACGAAGTGCCTTTGTTGTTTCTGTTTACTGTTCGATCTGAACATGTTCTGTATGTGGGACTCTTGGTTTACATTAGTGATGAACTGAACAGGGAAAATGTTGATTATTATTATTATWGATGTGGTGCAGATGATGATTGTGCAGCTTTTACAGCCACCTGTAAGTGTGTCCCTGTGGGACTCGACAGGCTCGCTGCTGTCTGAAATTCAGACCCTCCCTCCCTCTCAGCATGTTCTGTAACTTATTGTCTTGTTGTGACCGGAGTGATAATTTAGTCTTATAAATTGGTTGCAATCTGTTCGAAACCTCRTCTGTACGTCAGTTTTATCAGTGTTCTGTCGGCAGATGGGGCGCTAAACAAGCAAATCTGGGATTTCTCCTCATTTTGGATCAGTGGGTTTGGTTGAAATCAGMTTTATTCGGTTCAGTTTAGAGGGCTTTTTTCTTGTGACGTGTCACGACAGTACAAAAAGAACAGAATGCCGTGCTAAAAGGACAAACTGGTTCTTAGGTTAAAATGTTTCTATGAATAAAYCTTGATTTTTATGAACATCTACGTGCACACACTTGTATGTTTTTTGGTGACCTTTGTTATACAATATGAGTTCTGCGTTGGACTTTGTCGGTTCTGTTCCTCCGCTCTGAACTTGTTTGAGGTGTTCGTGGACGAGATCAGTTGTAGAGAAGGGTGTCGTCTCTTTTAGGCAGATGATGTGGCTCTGTTGGCGTCCTCACYCCCCCTCTGGGTCGAGGAGGAGTTCAGGTATCTGGACGTCTMATGATGGCAGGATGGAGCGGGAGATGAATCAATGAATRGGGGACSWCCTCCTCAGTAATGAGGGCGTTGCTTCGGTTAGTCGTGATGAAGAAAAAACTGTTCRACATTTTGCGCCACTTAATGCAACAAAACCATGAAGTTATGGGACCCAAATAACACTTCAGACGCATAGCTCAAAAGTCAGTCTGACATGAAAATGAAGCCATTTTAACACAAAGTTTACAGATTTTATTGAAAAATCCCTTTTTAATTCCAAAGAACCTGAATTATTCATCAAATTACGCTTCGGTAACATTCAATCATCATACAATTACGGATAAATGCAACAGATCTTTAAAATAAATTACTCAGACAAGAATGTGACGCGTATGAGTGAAGTTAGTAAAAACAACAAAAACTTCCAGTAGAGTTTGTAGTATTGTAACTATTGCTGTATCTGTTAAAAGTTCAATGAAAAAAAAAACCCCACAGACATTAAATATTCACAAGTAAAACAGTAATTACAACAAACAAAAATAAAATATTTAAGGCGTATTCAGTTCGTTTCTGTATAATCGTACACAATTAAGTCTTAGCCCTTTAGGGAGAAGAAATGAGAAAGCAGAACGAGTCGAGTGTTGATGCTTCATTGGTCGACGGCACTCAAAGTTTTTTGTGTTTTTAAGATGTACATATCTCCAGGACAACAATCAGGTCAAAATAACTTGTAARTAGAGTGGTGTTGGTGGAAAGATCTAGAAGTACCCGTCGTCAGTTTCAGCATCAACACGCGACCTTTAACCTTTCAGAGCTCGTACACAACCTGCCAGTTCACATCCCAGACTTCATAGGAATTTGAGGTTTTAAAAGGTTAATTGTTTATTTTTTTTATTATCTGCTTTTTAAAGCTCAGATTTATGTCAAATTCAAACGTTTATTAAATACAAGTCAATTAAATAGAAACAAATTAGTTTGATATTAGTGAGGTTTGTTGACTTTATTAATTAATTTAAAGCAGATAGAAAAATGCTTTGAAATTTGCCCAAATAATGAAAAAACATTAAGCTGAAAATATTTTGGTATTTAGGAGCAAGAAATGCTTCTTTGACTTTAAACTTTATCTTTTTAAAACATGCACTGATGCTTAAATTAAAAACAGATTGGCTTCTACAAACAGAATTCTAAAGAAAACAATTTCCATTTAACATAAATGTTTGTTTGTTTGTTTTTTTTTTTTTGGTTTTCAGTGTTGGGTTGGTTGTTCCTTCTTGAGGCTGAGGCAGCTTTAATCAGAAGTGGTTACTTTGTGGAGGCTGCAGTGGCTCTGGCTCGAGGGGCTCTCCTCCTCGTGGTCGTCGTCTGCTTTCAGGAGCGGGGGGAACTCTGCGTCGTCCCCCGCCTCCTCCCGCCGGGCAAGCCGTCAGTCTCGATGGTGGGCGTTACTCGGCGGCGTGATGCTGAAGACTCTGATGCGCAGGTGGGAGGCGATCTGGAGGCACACGCCTGTGCAGTATCGCACTAGATCCAGACACGAGAGGACCTGGAAAAAAAATTACAGCTTAACAAGAGAAATAAGACCCTAAAACCCACCAGTTTGCCTTAATAGTGAAATTATAGCTGGAAATTGTCCAAGTTTTTTGACCACGGCAGAGATAATTTTAAAAAAAATGTGTGTGTGTGTGTGTGTGTAATAAATGGTGCTGTTTTTACTAGTTTTTATATATAAAACTAGCAAAAACAGCACCATTTATTTTTTATGCATGATTGACACATAAAACAGTTTTGCAAAAAAGATTGCATCATCACTATTTCCTCAAAAAGTGCAACACGTTGCAAGTCTAGCAAAAAAAAGGTCACTGGTAAACAGGGTTTAAGATGCTTTCTTGCTTCAACACACCTGATTTAAATAAAGATTAAATAAAGGGTCATGACATGACAGCTGATTTGAATCAGGTGTGCTTCAGCAGAAACACAGCTAAAGGACGCAGAGCAGTGTGCTCCACACCAGCAGCCGAAAAAAACTCATTCATAAATAAAGAGGGAAAAGTCAGAAGAGGAAAGTTTTCAATTTGAATTATTGTTTTAGATGGTGGAAATTTGCTCTCCAATGGACACATTTTGGATTAGCTGATGACTGAATTCCACATTCTTCAAACCTGGGATCACACGGTCTACTGCAGGTAAGACACTGAATACTCTAAGCGCGATTTGCAAAACTACTGAAAAAGACTAAACTAAAATGGTTTAACTTGCAATAAACTTCCTCAATCCCACAAGAAAAACGTAAAGACAATTAGTCTGTGCAGCAGGTGTCAAACCCAAGGCCCACGAGCCGAATGCGGGCCGCCACTGCTGTTCATGTGGCCCGCGAGAGCTTCAAATACTGTATTTGTTCATGGCTTAAAATAAGCTGCTTAAAAGCCAGCATTGATGAACTACGTCTCCCACAAAGCATGTTGATCATTTTACCAGTGAAATGATTTAATAACATTACTAGATGGAGGTGCACAGCATTTAAAAGTAGCTGGCAAAAATAATTTCACTGTGTTTTCGACGGCTACTTTTGTTGTGGCCTCGTTGTACGGTTTGTYAATTTAAATTGTAACGCCCCTCCGGTGGGGATTTCCTGTCGGAAATTAGGAGAGTTATGGATTCAAAATGGCAGCTGAGTAAAACTCTTACTTTTAATAGTATTTATGTGTTATTTATATCACATTTAGTCAGTCGTACAAGTAATAATTGTAATTTATAAGAGGAAGTGTAAAACGCTGTTTCTATGCAGGAAATGCCACGTAGAGCTCGGTTATTGTTGGTTAGCGGTGATCAGCTGATGAGGCCCTCACTGAAAATGAGTTTGACACCCCTGCTGTACACAATGTATGAATGCAATAAAACAAAAAGTAAATAKTGTTTTCTGTATTTGTTTGATACTAACCATGGCGATCCAGAGGACGATGTGTTCATCAATGAAGCTGTTGAAGTACTGGTTGAGGAAGAGGAGGCCAGGCCCAATGAAAGCTGTGTCTGGAAGGTATAACTCACTCCTGGTCATGTGTGCAATCTAGGAGCACAAAAACCGAAGTTAAAAGCATTCAGACAATTAAAGCAGAGCAGTTCGCACAGCTGAGACGCACCACCAGCTTGTTGGAGATCTTTGAGGCGACCATGCCGAAGGTGAGCAGGTAGAGGCAGGGGTGGTGCTCAAATAAATGGCTGGACGACTTTTTGAAGATGATGAAAGCCAGCATGAGGGTGAGGCCGATGTGCAAACCAGGACTCAGGACGCTGGTGTCCTAAACACAAACATTTAGAACATCTTCAGTCACGCGTTGATGTTTAATTACGGAACAACCGTATCGTATATGCAGTGGAGGGCACTAGCCCGCTAATTGCGGACCTAAATATTTCATTTGCGTTTTACCGGTCTTACTAATTTTTATAATTCATTAGCGGATTTGTGCTTTCTAAAATTAAAACGCAGTACCGCTAATAACTAATTATCTACCAGTCATCATTATCTTGAACAGTGGAAGGTAAGCTGTCAATCACAACACACGTGATCTGTCCAACAGCACCCCTCCCAGATAAACACACTTATTGAGAAGGTATACATCCTTGCTGACTGTTGCTCTCGGTTACGGTTCTCATTTCCTACAATGCTTTGTGTCTGCTTACGTAGCAGGAAGGCAATAGCAAAAACAGTTAACATTTGTAATCCATACTAAAATTTTGTATTGATTTATTTTACTTTACAATCGGAGCTCCTTTTTAAAAAAGTTTAAACGCTGGAGCTCAATTAATACTTGACGTAATTGGTCGAAACAATCAGCCAATGGGGTTACCACAGATTTATACTGCATGCGTCTCCGCTCTGCTCCACAGGTCGCAGCTGTGCGTTTCAAGTCCAGTTTACACTTCCTCCGGTCCGACAGACGTGCAGGAAGCAGATCGCGTGATAAATTCAGTGATAAATGTGGAAGTCACAGCAAAAAATAATTAATTCTGTGAAAGATGAACTCCAAACACAGTTGAAAACAACGATATAAAGGCTTTTGGTATCTATGTTGAAACTGTCTTGCTGTCAGCTTTCTGAAACTTCTGATTTCAAAATAAAATCCARGTGTATCGTGTGTGTACACATATGCTTCATGCTACATGTTTCCATCTGCTTCCCAAACAGAACGATACATTCTGACGGCATTTGTGTAGAAATATTACCATATATTTATTAATATAGCTGCAATTTCGACATTATTCCGACAAATTATTCCGCCGAATAGTATCTTATTTTGAAAATACGGATGTTGTGCTCGTGTCTTTTCCTGTTGTTGCGACGTAATCTTTAAAAATTGACTCCGGCGCAGCTCCGGCATCCGGCAAAAATAGGATCTGTTCCAATTTTGACGGATCGCCGTCCGCTCTGCGCAGCCGTGCGCAGCCAGTGTAAACACTCTCTATTATTATAATGGGTGTGTATTTGCTGTGGAGGTCGGACCGGAGCGGAGCAGAGACGGAACGCATGTAGTGTAAATTGGGGGTTAGAGACCCAGAAATGATTTTAAGATGTTATGCTGACAAAGACAGACATCTGGTGGTCAACTGGAGCAACTACATGGAAAACTTTAAAATCCAAGCTCTTATTTTGAAGGGAAGATAGTTTCCTCTAATCTGTGCTTTCGTTTCCCATCACAAATCAAATCCGTCATGTACCCACAATGCGTCGCTTCAGTTTTCCAATAAACAGTTTTAAAATTACTTTATTGATGCTTCTTTAATGAAAAATCTACAACAAACAAAAGAAAAAGACAAAGAAGCWGCCGCACTAGCAATCCTCAACAACTTTTTAATTTTTACACCAGGAGCCAAAGTTCTGTTTCAGGAAATCACATCCCCAGCAATCTACGGTTGTAGGATTAATCTGTAAAAGGATTCATACACCACTAGTTGGCAGTGTTGTGCATATATCGTACATGAATTATTGCCAGCTAGTAAGTGTCAAACTGAACTTGCACTTTAAAATCAGCTTCCGCTAATTTTTCTATGGCATAAGTGCTTTTGAAGTTGCGGACCTAAATATTTTCATAAGCGCTTTAGAAACCGCGGAGCTAATTTTTGGATTAGCGCTGCCCACCACTGCGAATATGCTTCAGAACAAAGCTATACGAATTATAAATGCATTAGATTATTGTCATCCAACAAATGACATATTTATCACATTGCATACTTTAAAATTTTATGATTTAATAGAACTTAGAACAGCATTGACAATGTACAAAGCTTATACTAAAGTCCTTCCACATTGTATGCAGAAGTGGTTCGAAATTAAAGAAACAATTATGAATTCAGAAAGAAAGATGTATTTAGATAAAGGTTAGGACAAATATTAAAAATAATTGTAGAGTGTTTGTAATAATTGTTGTGAAATGTTAAAACTGTTCTTCACTAGCTAAATTTAAAATAATGTATAAAAATTATTTGTTACAGAAATATACTAAGTTTTGACTGTTTGCTGCTACTAGAGTTTTGTTACAAATTTGGTTAGAATTTCATTGGAAATTTTATTTTATAAAATCTATAAGAAAGATGTTGATTTGATTTTGATAATGTATGAATAAAAAGTGAAGGTATAAAAAGCTTAGGCTATACTTTTTTTTTCAGTCTATGCCTTGTCTTTTTGACACTGACAGGAATTTAAAGACTGTATTATTTTATTTCTGTATTTTTTTCTGTAGTTGTTCAGATGGACAGGTTTTGGTGATTTTTTTTTTATATTCAAACAATAAACAATATTCAATAAACAATATTCATATTCAAACATTCTGAAGATCTTGAGCCACGCGTTGATGTTTAATTACCGAACAAACTGAAGCCACTTACCGCCACAGTGGAGCCATTTTTGCCGACTCCCCCGTTCAGAATCACATAAAAGTAGTTGTAGCAGGAGTACAGGGCGCCCCCGATGATGCCCAGGATGGGGAAGACGTACAGCTGCAGTCCGAGGACGGGTAACTACGAAAACACAGACGGCTGGAAATAAAGCAGGAGACAAAGGGTTCCAAAAGTGGGGGAAACGTTTCTGATAAAGGAGCTGCAGCATGCTGAGCGTGATGGGAGCGCAAAGCAAAAATAAAACCAAACATAAAAAAATGCAGATGACATCATCAGCTTTTTGAGCCAGATCATGTCCAATAGATGACCTGTTGCCGTGGCTTCGACTACCCATATTTACCTTCTCACTTCTCTCATGTGATGTAAAGTCAAGCCTCCAAAGGCAGCACAGAGTGAAAGTAAAACACAAATTCTATTTAAAAAAGACAACTACAACTAGAAATCGTTCATTTGTTCTTCACTCAGGTGAAATGAAAATGTCCCCATTAGCACAAGTGTCATCGCGTGTGAGGAGACAGAACGGGGTCGGGCCTGGTTACCGAAGTTTGCCAAAGGCTCACGCCTCCGAAGGCTGACATCACGTACATGATCATGATGGCAAACTGCACCTCGGTGACGTCGACCCTGCGTGAAAAGTCAAAAAAACAGGCTTTAGTTGAGGCGCTCAGGAAGAAGAGCAGAGCATTACTTGGAGGAGATTGACAGGGGTAAAAGTGTAGCTTACAGCCCAAAGCGGAGGGTCCCCGATACGTAGGTCTGCCAGTGGGCACAGAAGAACATAAACATCCCGATAAATCCACAGAACCAGATCCAGTTTGGGTATCTTCCTATTCCACATGAAATACATGTTCCCACTGCAACAAAAACTGAAAAATAAAGGAGGTAAAGGACACAAATGTTAGAAAAAAGGACCAATTACAAGTTCCACAAAATAACTTGTTCATGTATTTATTGCTGAACAATAACACAATAAACTAACATTTACACAACAAATCAAAACATTCATATATTTTAAAGGCTTGCTTGCTTGGTTTAGATTTACGTTCTCTTTTTGGTGTGTGCTCCCGAGACGGGACTGAAGCTAATCACGGGCTAATTAGCATATTAGCTGCTAAAAGAAACTTTATTAAAAGCTGAACAGCAGGGAGGAAGTTCTACTCCATTTCCTCAAATGCACATTTACTTTAGAATAATAAATGTAATAAAAAACTAAGTAAAAATTAAACAACCTGCTCATTTTGGTGTTTTTAGCCGACACCAAATTCAAATTTACTCCCAATAACTGATTAAAACCAAGGCTTAAACTTTCATTTATAGTAAATATCACAAATTAAATCATCAGAAATAAAACTGCTGATTACATATTGGGTTAAATTCTGTTCTGAGTAAAGGGAAAAAAAAGCTGACCGACATTAAACAGCAACTTTCAACATATTCACTTGTTTTTTTTCCCTACTTCCTTATTTGTATCTGAGAATTAAATACGCCTGTTTTTTAGTATTATTACAATCTTATACCACAAATTAATAAGCAATACGTGATTATTTAGGGAGTAGCTGTTAAAATAAAAGCATATCATATGATTTTTAATTTGCGTTTTAATATCTTGATTCTATGAAACTAGGTTTGAAATCTACTGATGGATGTTTTTTTTCTTTAGTACACAATGACCTGAAAGCCACAGTTTTGGGTGAAGCACCTGTGGAGACGGCGTCGCAGCCGTGGTCAAAGAGTTCCCCAAGAGGTGAGCTGCTGTTTGTCCTCCTGGCCTGTTTCCCATCAATGGCATCCAGAGACTGATAGATGAAGAGGCCCAAGGCAGACAGGATGAAGGCCCATGGTGGAGCCTGAGGTGGAGGAACAGAAGATAAAATTAATATATTTTCACCAAAAMTTACCATTTCATGCAAGACTATCAATGAGTCACTTGCTGCCAAAGGTGATAATGTTTTCACCTGATTCTGTGTTCTTTTGTCCGTGTAGCATTAGCAAAATACCTCATGAACCAGTGCACAAATTTTGACAAAGCTTGCTTGCAATCATTAGACATACATCTACAGCTGATTTAACTTTTAAGAGTCAATCCAATTTGAACAGCTAGTCGACAATAGCCAACACAAAAATGTCTAACTCAGTCGCTTTTACAGATATTAGATAAAGTTTGATGTGTTAGTAGCTGAGTCACTGACAATGCATAATCTGCGCATGACATCAAGACACCCAAGAACATATATACTGTATGCACGAGTTTAATTCATACCCTCATGCACTTTGTAGCTTCATACTGTGGAGTTCAGGTTTGTTTAAAAGAGAGATGTGGGTTAACCGGTGCTGTTATTCTTACTAGAGGGTAGGTTACAAACCATCTGCACTCTAAGCCAGCCAACACAATGTGCTTGCAACAACAAATACAAGTTTTTGTTCCCCCCGAGAGATCAAGGATCCTATGTTTCTTCTCCAAATAAGATAATAAACTGTAATAAACCCACACAAACAAAGCCCAGCCACAGGGACAGGTTTTATTTATTACAAAGCTCACGTAAGAAGGAGCTTTGAGCTGCATCAGGGATCTGATGGTATCAGTTGGCTGCATGAACTTTGATTTATTTCTACTGGTCTTTCTCATGGTTTGACAGGACAAAGGTGTTTTATCTGATAAATACATGAAGTGCTGTGTACCTGCACACACAGTTGTACTGGATCATAGGTCAACTGTTGGCTCAGCTCTGAGTTGCAAGTGCTTGTGTTTGCAGTGCACTAACCTATATGATCCGAACACTGAGTTTAATTTACTGTGTTGCTAAATGATTAGCTAACTATGTGATGGTGGCTTGAAATCAGATCATCTTACAGCATTGCTTTACACAAGGGTGGACGGACGACACGTCAAAGCAAAAAGCATCAGTGTACTTCCTATTATTGATAGCTAATTCAATTATGCGACAACTTAATTTATCCTCGTTTAGTGCGGGCCATTCAAAGGCGATGTAGATTGATCCCATCAATACTGGATGACTGTAAGATTACCTTTAATTCGGCTCGGGATTCTTAAGAAAAACCAATTGTCATTTTCTCTAATTTCCCCAAATAAGGTATACAATAGCAAATTAGATAGCAATATGATTCAAGTAAATAAATAACATTGTTTAAATTTTATATATATATATATGACTTCAAACTCAAATGTATGCCGAATTAACAAACGGATCTTACTAATTTATAAAAAGTTTATTTATTAACGTTTACTGCATCTGAGCTGTACATAGACATTGAAATGCTATCTTCAGCGGTTTCTGAATGTAGTTTGGCATTCCGTCCGATCCAAAAGCTATAATTAGCTGTTGGTCTCCGGGTGGAAACCTAAGCCAAGATCGCTTTACTCACCTCTTCTGTTGCTGTGGGGCAAWAATACACAAGTACCACCGTGGAAAGGACGTTGACTAAGAGTCCAACAATAGTCAGTGTGTTTGGAGCGATCCATGTCGGTATTTGCTGGACCAGCCAGTTCCAATAAATCTGACACGGCGGCTCAAACAGGGAGCGACCCGAGGCGCTGTATTTATGCTCCTCTAGTCGCTTGAGTTGTGCGGGTGACAGCGGCTCTGGCCACAAGAAATGTGGCATTATCTTTTTCTCCAAGTATCGTCACTCCTCAATGGACCGTGATAAACAACCCAGTTGTCTCGGTTGGTGACTCAGAAAGGTCTAGATGGCATATTAAGCAACAGACGAGGCCATTTCGGCAGTGGAACCAAAAGCTCTCGACGGTAGTCTGAACGGATCAGGTTGAGGCACATTTGTGCCGGAAGTAAAGGGATAATAACTTGGCGGTCTACCGGGAAGTGTAAATTGCTCAGTTCACCACTTACTTCAAGCTCAGCAGTCGCAAGTAAATTTGTAAAAATACTTAAGAAGGACCAAGACTAAACATTGTTTGTGGCTGACAGTTCAAAACAATGTAATGAAATGGGGGCAACACCAACATGGCCAACCACTGCTCAGTCCCAGCAAAAAACGTAAGTATTCGTGCGGCCATCTTGGTAGGTGCTACATGGAGTCATTGATGCAGGAGATGCATTTATGAAGGGCAAAAAAGCTAAAATGAGCCCCACCCATGTTTTTCTGGTTGTTTTCTGAGCCCGAACTTCAAATAGCGATTTAGTTTTTTCTGTATGTTTTTTTTAAATCAAACTACTTAGTCATTACTCATTTATATATGATAACTAAATATCAGCTTAATTATGTAAGTTTTTGTCTGTTTATATCTTGTACTTTTATACAATATTTTAAACAAAACATTTAACTTTATTTCAAATCAAATTTCCCATAGAGTCACTGTTCACTTTGAAGTCTGCATCATCAAACTTTATTTTTTTATACTACAGTTTAGTTAATATTAGCATCGGTTTTGCTGAATTTTATTTATAGTTTTTATCAATTTTAGCATATGTACTTTTAGCCACTGTACTGCTACTTTTATTAACATTTATAAGATCAGGTTATTAGTCTAAGTGTGATTAACTACAGACAGATTTCTGATCAGATTATGTAGACATGTAAAATACTTAATAATTTCAATAACAGTTATGTACTGAGCAACTGCTTGTTGAGGTGACATTTTGCCACCATTATCACTTGACAGATCTTGATTAGAGGCCCATTACAGTACACTACTGTCCAGTCTTTTCACAATATGCATCATATAGGGTTATTTCTATGTGTTTTTGGATTGATGATACAGCATACAATATGTTTTTGACATTGACAATGTGTGGCTTTGACATGTAAATAAACACAGTGACAGGTGTAGTAGTTAGGTCACAAGCCCTGCCCATTGTCATCAGTGGCCATTCCGGTGTATTTCTATTTCAGGGGGAACATTAATTCATTTAGAGTACCAAAAATAAAACTACTAAATCCATACAAATTCCCCCTTATTTACAAAAATGTTATGTTATAGTTTTATGAGTATTACCATAGTAGCTAACTTTAACCTTTTGCTGCTTTTGTTTCCAAATAAATCAGTTTTATTAAGAATCCAGATAAAAACAAAGGTAAAGTAGACATTTTAGCTTAATAATCCAAAGAAACAATAATAAACTTAACATCTGAAAAGGGGAGAAATAAGCGTTTTAAGTTTATTCAATGCAAAAATAAGCAAAACATTTATTTTCCCTAAACCCATTAAAGTGGATGATGAGCCAGCTATGATATAACAAAATCAACCAAAATATGTTTGGCCTTTGAAGGGTCTTGGTGATGTCATCATAAAAATGCAGTGGGCTCCCCTTTACGTGTGATGGAGTGTGATCGGGCCACAACGGTTTTGAGCGTACGTAAAACTTTCATAACAAACTTCAAATCTATCATCATGGTGTCAAGATTTTGAAGTAGGACTGACCACTCTTGTCTCATGCCTAGTCCAAAGTCACACTTGTCTGTATACTCAATAAAGCAGAGGTGTCCAAAATGGGGCACGCTGGCCAAAATTAGCCTGTCAAGCCATTTGATTTAGCCCACCAATAGTTGCCCTGGTTATTAGTTAGTAATCTCCTGTCATCCTCTGCAGAAACACTTTATTTCCACTGACGATCAATCCATCCATTGGCCCAATGGCTATGTAAGGAGCTGTAGTGCAGATAGTTGACTTTATCTTTGAATTATATTAAGATTAAACATGAAATAAAAGTTACTAAAGGAGATAGAGTATTTAGACTATATTTCAGCACACATCGATTTAAACACTTTATAAGATCACAAATCCTCAGATTTTGTCAATTTATGAAATGTCCCATGAGCCTTTGCTGCCCGAGCATATGTCAAATATTCTCCAAGTGCACGGACTAAAAGAACAAACAAAACGTGAGCCACAACATTGGTTCCTATCTTATTCATAGAACATAAAAAGACTTTACGTTGCATTTCATGTATCATATTATTGAATTTGGCCCACAGCCCTTGGATAGATTTGCATTTTGGCTCTCAGGGAAAAAGTTTGTGCACCCCTGCAATAGTGTTGTGATATTTTACTTGAATGACTCATTTAACGCTAAAACTTGTCACGTATAGGAAATTTCATTTACAGTATATCTTCATCTCACAGTAAATCCACACAAGAGGAGCACTCAGGACAGGAACGAGAACAGAAACCTTCAGTTTTATGTTTATTATCATCACTGGTCATACTTACAAAGGGTGGAGGCATGCACTTATGATTGAAGCTGGATAAAAGGTCAGTCCAATAAGAATCACAGTGTCTAAATGTGTTGTGCAGACTGGGAACAAACATCTACATTTTCTGACTTATTAGCCCACAAAACAACAACAACAACAAAAAAGAAAAAAAACAAAAATAAAATGTTAACTTTCAATCAGACAAATCAGCACACTTTTCTCCCAACATTACTCAATGTTGTTTTATGTTGTAAAGAAGTACATTGACACTACCACCATTACTGTGTACTTTATGCATCTCGATCCTTCATAGTAAGCTACCAGAAGAAAATATCTTTCACCAACTTCTACCAACAAAAATCCACATACAGACATGAGTCTTTTTTACACACGTTTCTAATAAATCTAAATAAAAAATGCTGCTGCCAACATGCATCTGAGCTGATATAGTCACTCATACAGTGATAGTTTTTTTCCTCCTATGGTAACAAGCTTAAATCCTGCACACAGCACGCCACACCACTGACCAGACCCTCCCCCAGACACACACATACATCCCATCTATATGTCCCACCATCCATTATTAGTCTGCTGAGCTGAGATAGGAAAACATCACAATTGTTGGCTGATGTCTGCAAAGCCAAAGCATCTTACTGCACAGAGTTCATGCTTTAATTTTTTTTTTTTACTTCTCCTGATCAACAATCTTCGCCTCATTCATGTACTTCTCAATCAGGTGTAGGGGCACTCCACGTCGCATGAGCTCGTAGAAGGTGAAACCTCCTAGAAGACCAAAAGAAAAGTTAAATTGCTGTCAGGAAAGTGACAAGGCCGCTTTGGAAAAGAAAAGGTTGTGAAAAGCCGAACAGCAGCAGATCGGGTAAAGTAACATAAYCTGATAAACCCATTTTCCATCCATTTCTCAGTTTCTTATAATGTATATATTTTTATATGTTTTTGCTGAAAAAAAAAAGAGTTAAAGTTATACTGGGGTAACAATAAAAATGAGAACATGCTGTTTATTCCAATCATATTTATTTTGAATATTATCATGCTGATAAATAATGTTAAACACAAACTACAGACAAGACTGGTGGGAGTTTTATGTATTTGTAAAAAATAAAGTCTATCATAAAATATTAAAAAAGATTAAATTTATCCTGAAAGTAACATGAACAATCCACATCTTTGCTAATTTATTTATGCAGCAAAAAGTTTTGGTATGTGTGACAAAGGAGGAAAACAGACTTCCTGTATGTCACAAATGTAACCTCTGGAAACCATGAATGATTTTATTGGATATCTTGTCTGTAGAGAAATGCTTTTTAATCAGTAAAAAATATTTTAGTCAATAAATACAATAGTTGATATAAAATGTCTGGAAGTTGCGTAATATCCTGATTACTGGTGTAATATCCTGATTACTGGAARATATACTTGTAAGGTAGTTACTCTAAATGTCTAACCTTTGGGCTAATAATAACAAAATATTAAGTCAGTTGTAGGACTAGAATAAAAACAAGAAATGATTGATGTCTCATGCATGTATTTTTTATGGCACTCCATCCAAATGTGAAATATTGTGAAATTAAATATTTTAGCACATGCCACATCTGTCTGCAGAGCAACAAAGCCATTCTTAGGTCGCATTTTCATCAGGATGAAAAAATGCATACATGACAATACAAAACTAGACAAAACATAATGTATTCATTTTGATATTTTAAATCATAGTTTCTGTTTGTGTGTGAAGAGCACACTTTTAAATACCCGTACAGAACATTATAAAAATGCAATAAAGTTTTGTGCAAAAAATACCTTTTTTCAAATAACAGCACTCAGTACAGGCCCACAGTTCAAACAAACTGTTCATCAGCCAGGTCCAAAACTCGATAACATGTACTCACCTTGTCACTGCCACAAGTTACATGGGAGAAAATCTTTTAATTTAAATGTTTGTACTGCAACAAACAGCAAAACGCTTCTAAACTGAGGCCCAAATTCACTTGTTTTTTTGCTCCAGTTTTTGTGCATTATTTGCACCCGCTAACTGCTCCATCTCTGTTACAGAATTAGATTTTTCTTGTATAAAATAGCTGTTTTTACTCTTAAATGTGAGCAAACCATCAGCTCCGATAAATACAGGTGCTGGTCATAAAATTAGAATATCATGAAAAAGTAGATTTATTTCAGTAATTCCATTTAAAAAGTGAAACTTGTATATTATATTCATACATTACATACAAACTCATA